GCAAGGTGTAAAAATCCCCACCTGTCACCCCCATGCCCCCCCAGAAGGGGCAGAGCTGTCTCCCAACCACTGCCTATTCCGGCCACGGCAGAGAAAGCGGAGAGCAGAGAGCTTAACACCGGTCATCGCTCGCCTCCCACGCCGCTCCCCAGCCCCCCCGCCCAAGCCGAGCCCCGGAGGATCAGCCAGACATCCCAGGCCACATTTCACAGCACACAAACATCTTCCTTGGCTCGCAAAAGATGCAATCCTCAGTTGAGAAGTTCATTAATTAGGAGCAGAGAAGCCTCTGAGTGAATCTCCCAGCAAGAAGCAGGAAGGGGGGGAAAAAAAAAGTTCCCCCACAATTCAGTCTAATTACAACGCCTCAGGGTGCTCCACAGTCACTGTGAAGCAGAGGCCAAAATTTTTCTCCCCACCCCTAAGAGCAGGAACTTTAACCCAGTTACACTGATAATAAAAAAAAACACCAAACACTGACATTCATCATTTTAACTATTCTGTAAGTAACAGCAAACAGGAGGCACTGAAAAAAAAAAACAACTCTGGCCAAACAGCAGCTGGCCCTGAGCGCAGCTTGTGTCCGGGAAGAATCCACTCGCACGCCCCCAGCCCAGGAAGCCGGAGGCCAGCCCTCCAGCCGGCCACGCCACGGGGCCAGGACTACACGCAGCTGCTCTTCTGGGATTTAGCAACCGCTTTCCGCCCACAGAGTGACTCTGCACATTAGGTACCGAGCAAGACCTCAAATGTCACGGCAGCTCGGGCCGCGGGAAGAGGCTGCAGCCAGAGGGATAGCGGGAACACCTGGAAGATCCCGGGAAGGACTCCAGTGGCCCTGACAGAAGTTTCCTTTCTTCCCGGCTCCCAGAGGAGCTGGACTCCAACCCACCCCAAGCCTCCAGCGAGGCAGGGTGGATCCAGCCACAGACACGCAGCAACCACACCCTGGCTGCTGCCGGGCCGGCTCCCCCCCCCCCCCCCCCTCCGCTGAGCAGGGCACAAACAGGGACTACTAGGCTATTTATACAGTTGAAAATATTTAATACGTGTCATACACGTAGAATTACATTTTATACAAAACAAGATACATCACTGAAGGGAGAACACTGTACAAAAATCCCTACGGGAGCCCCAAGCCTTTATACAACAAAGACCAGGAGTTACCAAGCCTAACAAACAGGCTCAAGGGTTTTCCATCAGAGCGTCTGTAAACTTCGTTTCTCTCAATGAACACTTTTAGAAAGCACCATGTAATAGTTCTGACCTAAACCTTTCCAAAATAGAGACTTTATTTAATAAATTTAATACTTTCCAAGCTTAAAATATTACCCGGTGGGAGCGCCCTCGCTGTCGGCA